GAGGTGGTAGGCCAGCGGGTGGAGCCGGAAGCATATGTTGATTAATTGAAAGAGAGAGTAACGCCGGAGAAGGACTATGCCTTGGTGGCTAGAGGAAGAACACCTTTACAAGAGCAAGACTTACTGCAGAGAAGGTCTAGTCGAACACGGTAAGTTACGTCTCGTATGAGGAATTACGTGGTAAGATCGGAATAACTTGTCAAGGAAGGGAGTGTAAATGTGGTTGACGTGGCAAGCCACGCGAGTAATAGAACGAGTATAAGAGGCGGGAAGCACGGAGATCATTCAGTTATATGGATATACGTGGCCGCCACTGGACTGCCGTATTCTGCCCAGCCCCCGAATGGACCGCCGTATGCAGCTCAGACCCCCGCCGGTCACAGTTGCGCCGTCTAGACAAGTGGCACCGAAACCAAGTCCACCCATTGTGATCCGGGTGACGAGTTTGGTCCCTGGACATGTAAGTGAAGTTCTTCTCTTAGCCGCCGGTTTGGTGTTGTCAAGAGGGATATTGTCAGGATGTTGCAGCCGCGATGGACATCGAGGATGCGAGAAGGTTGACCTCGTCGTATCGTGGCAGTATCCGTGGACGAGGTGGTCGACGCCCACGCAGAAGATGCCGCGCAATGCTGAGAAGGAAACTCAACGAAGTTCGCTTATCGTATGCCCAGTTGAGAGCCCATCTGGAGGAAGGACCTCTACGCCCCAGTGTGGAAGGAGACCCGCACAGTAGAATTATTGATTCGATATGTTATGGTAAGATGGAGAGTTTGAAGATTATAATAACATATGTTGCTGTTGGAAAATAAGAGAACAGGAAAATTTCTGGGCTGAGGCGCAGTTCACTGGTAAGGGAATGTGAGCAAGTGACTCCGTCACTTGGGGGAGATGTAGGGGTGAACGATTGTTTATGTAAACTGCTATCTTGGAGAAGCAGCTACGAAATGAACGGATAAAAAGAAGGGAAGAATCGCAATTACACCACTACGTACATTAACCCCCGAACAATAATAAATAATTCTATCCAAGTGTTTGAACATCTCGAGTCATACCAATTATCACTATTAATCGAGGGACATGCTGCAATTATTGTAGGCACAAGTACGCTGAGAACAAAAAACAAAGGAGCTTTCAATGACCTGTGCAGTACCCGAGAAAGAAAAACTAGTTTCTCCGTATTACACTTGCAGAGGGTATCGATAGGTGGAAACCTCCTTGACATGTTAAGATCTCATTGGCATGTTTTTTGGTATTAGAGTGTACTCATGTAATACTTTCATATTTATTTCTTTTGACGAGTGTATACAACATTGACGTGTGTAGACAAGGAGAGCCTTGTACAAGGACGCTTCGGCGTCAGTTCATTTGACTCTTCGAATTTGTCTTCTCGGCAACTTGTTTATTTGTCGTGGAACACTTATCCTAATGCGTTCCGCAACAAATCCGACTGGCTCAACCACATTTCAGGTGAGGTTGAAACTCAAACACCATCATTTTGGAGTTCAGCCGCGCTTTTTGCCTACTTGAACCCACTCTCAAAACGCGACCACAATGCATCACAAAAATACCGGGCCTCCACTTATCCAATTGGAAACGAAGCAGCCTTGATAGTGGTACTTTTATGGTCCATCAGGATCCAATGGCAATGCGGCCTCGCGTTGCAGCTACATCGTTAATGCTCCGATGGCATCTATGGCATAGATAATTTTGTTGGCAAGCTTACTTTTTTTAATTGGCGTAAAGTGTGGAAGGCAGCGGAAATGGAAGGGTCGCTGATTTAGTTGAGCTAGCATACAGTGCCATATTGTGATGGCGGAAAGTAGAATCCACAGTGTTTGCCTTCGTGGATGAAATATAGCTGCCCTGTCTTGTTAGTGGCGTCTGACTGAGTCGTAGAATACTCCACCAACGTACAGAGGTTTAATGTTCGGACCTGGAGTTCAGAAAAACAGTACCTACCCAGAGATCAACAGAAATTTTGCAATCGGAGAGGAGGCCAAAAACGGAATTGCTCAAAATCGTGTACTGCTAATTACGGTAGGGCTAAGCGCATCCAAGAGTCCCTCTAGAAGATTGCACAAGGCAGGTGTACAATGAGAAGGCAAAATCGAATGCCATCAAACCAATAACAACGAATAGTAAAGAAAGAAAGAGCCTTCACTCAATCTTGGGCCTAGATCGCCATTTACGCAATTGCGTTTTTCCGATTAGAACCGTGGCTGATGCTGCCCTAAGCCTCCTTCCTGTGAAGGAACAATTATTTGCCTGTTTTTAGTTATACCTTTTCCGAAATATACAAAGTGCGATGCTTGGAAAATAAGGATAACTCATCACTTCGTGAAGTAGGCGAAGTAAACGGGGGTTTCTTAGTAGGTAAATACAGAGGAAGTCGAAGAATTTGAATCTGAACACGAATCTTCCAGTGCTCGAGGTGCTACCAAAAAAGCTCATACTTGCAAAGTGTATATAAACGATTCTCGATTGTCTCACAGTGCTGGTCGCAAGGGATATGTACTAAACAACTGCGAGAACAATGGAATGGTTGACAACAGTGAAGTCAGGATCGTCAGGTCAATATAGATTGCTGCTGAAGACTGTCATACTTATCTGTGAAGGGCGCCTCTGTCTGCAGTTCCGCAACTTCTATTTTTGGCAGAAACAAAAGAAACTGGAGCAACACGAAGCAAAAAGTTATTCCTTGAGAATACTTTGTGTGTCTCGTGTGGTTATCATAGCCGACTCGAAGAAGTCACTACCCATGAATTGCCCTTTTTCCCACTTTTGGGCTAGATAACCTTGGATAGCTGGGGTTTGAGCCCTCGAAGTTACACTCTTCATGACCAAGGCGGTGAGATTCACAGATTTTCCTGATTTACATTCGCAACGTTACATTGCACCGTGAGCAGACCTGTTACCACAGTGAGCAGACCTGCAGCAAAGCGATCACTGCCATTCAGTGTAGCTGTCCCGCAAACGGCCATCTGTGAATAGAGAATGCAACGCATGAAGAGATGCCTCATACTTTCAATACATCCGGCTGTTTAAATACCTTCAGGTGACCGTCTGGGCAACTGAACGCATTATCGAGACGGAATTTAATCACTCTTTTTCACAACGATTAGTTATATAACGAACAGCGCGACCCTAGTCACATCACTCCTTGGTAATCGCACCCACCCCGCTGAGAGTGAGATTCGCTACACTGCTTTTCAAGGATCGAAATGAGCCTTGCCATCATGTGACGCCGGTGGCGTCTCCTGCACAAAGATGATCAGGTTCCCTATTTTACTGTTTTAGGTGCGATTCCAAGTAACACTGTTCTTTCCGAACATCGAAAACCGGGCGATATATCTATGAAAGAGATCGACTATTCGCTACTAAGCAGTACATTCAAAAATTGATCAAAGTCGAATAATCATTAATTTCCTTTTAGTTCAGAATGTCTGGGGTTCACAAGTTAACTACGCAAAATTTCATTCCGTAACATGTGCCTTGTCGTCTATTCGACAACTTATATTATGTACACAAAAACTATCGTATAAATTTCATTTACAGGCGCCATAAACATAATAATAATAAGAAGCTTTGATGTTGAATATAGTCGAGTCGCCAAGTGGCGACTATCACATGTGAAATATGAACGAGATGCCATTTAATGGCAACTACATATAAAAAAGGAGAAGAAAGAAACGAACGATGATACTCTGATGTTGCTGGTGTGCGCTACTTTGTAACTGCCTAGTAGGAGTGGTATATGTACCTCGCCACCTCGCAACCACGTAGCCACCGTTGCTGGGCAGCAAAGCATAACAAAGCGACGAGTGACAGGGCGGGAACGAGAGAAAAGAGGAAGACGACCATGGCATCTGATATGGAGATAACAATGACTAAAGCTCATTGGTTGGAGACGTACGAGAGGAAGGAAAGTGGCGGTGTCGTGCTGGTCCCGCAAGATATCATCAGAGTCGAAGTGATTTTCTTTACACTTAGGTCTTTTTCCTCGAAGTTACATCCAGATGGGAAAAGGGATTTATCTCCGGGATGGCTGTGAAACCAAGTTCAAAATCTGGTTAAGCATTTTGAGCTAGTACCGAAAGTAGTCAAACAAGACACCGCCAATTAAGAAAAAAATTTGAGAATAAGAGGGGGTCTTGAACAACAGAAGGAATGCATGATAGACGGCTACGTGTTGAGGACATCACAAAATACTTGGTGTTCTTCTAGCGCAGAACGAAACCATTCCACAATAAGGAACGGGTGTAATGACTTGGCATCGTCGACCAAACAGTGCCGCCCCGCCACCGCCCGCGCGCATTTGCGGAATGTTCTCAACGCGCTATGAGAAAATTGCAAATCGACAAAAAGAGAAATTAGAATGACTAGTAAAGACGAGTGTAGTGAAAACATGATACACATGATGAACATGATCAATAGAAATATGGAAATGGGCGTGGTCATGGCCAATAAGGCGCATAGAGAATCAACTAATCAATACATATACATAGTTTGCGCACGCGTGAGGCAAGCAGATGGAGAGTGACGCAGGACGGGTGGTCCTTATATGAATACAACGCGAGGAGCAGGAATACTGTACGAGAATGTAAACTCTGTAGGGGAGAAAACGATTCAGATCAATCGATGTGATGTGTATCAGGTAGAGAATGTGGTACCGAGACTGGATCGATGTGGATGATTTCTGTGCAAATAGTAAAGAGCAGCCGGCAAACATTAATGGAAGAACTTAATGAGATGAAAATAAATCACGACCGCTACTGGCTAGAGCTACCGTACCCGTATTAGTCCCTTCAAGAGGCGAATTACGGTTTCGACGTCCTCGAAAGTTCTTAGTCCCATCACCTCCAACTAGATGTAAGTAGCTGATTTTTGTGGGCGTGAAAAGGGTCGGTGGGCAAAACAAAGGGCTTCAAAAAAAGGTTAGGACCAAATCTTCGAGACCACAACAGTTTTAGAAGAGACTAGCACGGTTATACTGAGGACTTTCAGTAAACAAAGTGTGGATTCACGAATGAAAATCCGCGGAATTCTTCCTGATTGATCGACCGCACGACAGCCACATCGGTAGGTGTCAGCACAGGTTCTTCTTTGGTAAAATCGGCATCGAAGTTGTTTGCATCACGTTTTGACTTCTGAATAAAAATGTGAGTCAGAGACTGGAAATCATAACAAGATGGAAGATCAGTAGTTCGGAACGATGGCCGTTGTGTGGTGGTTTCTGAGTCAGTAACCGGATTTAGAGGGCAATAGTAGGCGTCAAGATTAAGTTGTATGAAGCTTACAGAAAATCTAAGACTGTGTAGCCCTTGAACAGTGTTGGTCGCTAGACTGAAGCAGAGAAGGTACACTATTACGCTAAGAGTTGCTACCTCTAACAGCGGGTTGAATCCAAGAAAAGCTTACGATCTTCGGCTTGAATGGCGGTTTCACACGGCGAGCTTCAAGAGCATCCCAATCAATCTCACGGAAAAACGGATGTGCTCGAATCGCGTCTTCTCCTCCTTGTGATTGCACACAGCCGAGACGTTTTGATGGATTTTTCGTCATGAACTGAAACAATATTAGGGCTAGTAAGGCTCATATGGCAGTTGGCCAAAGAAGGAGTTCCCTGTGAATAATTTGAATAAATTTACGCTTTATCTGAGGCATGATAAAACGCTAAAACAATGCCGTCCCTCTGTCTGGCCTCCATACTGGATCGGACATTTATGTTCGGCCTACATCAAAGAGAAATGCCAAGAAGTCCCATAAAAGATTGGAAAAAACCCAGGTGAAAAATTACCTAGGTGTCAGTCTGAAAAGCTGATCTCAGTCATAGAAATAGAAGTCCCGAATTTCACTGCATATTGGGAGCTGTCCAAAGTCGACTTGGGATGAGATCACCTGTATTACCTGTCGTCCCGTTGATCATCGACTTCCTCGAGCGGGCGCCAGTAACGTCTCCATTCGTCCCTGTCACGAGCCACAGTGGTCCAGTGAATCGTTCTCGCTTCAGGGACACGAGGTTCAACATTCCTTTCGTTCAGAGCTTTCGTGAAGAAGTCTGACCATCTCGTTGGCGGCCTCCCTGGAGTTCGTTGGATGTCCCGAGGGATCCAGTCAGTAACCGCCCTGGTCCAACGGTCATCACTATATCGCATAACGTGTCCGGCCCACCTGATCTTCGATTTCTTGGCGTAGTCAACGGCATCCCTGATCTTCGTTTGGTGACGGAGCTCGGAACTCCGGATTCCCTTCTGCACTTGCGTGTATAGGGAAATTCCGAGCATCGTCCTTTCCAAAGCGCTTGAATAACGCTGACAGCATGCTCATCCTGCTTTCGTAGAGTACAGGTCTCCGAGGCGTACGTCAAAGCAGGAAGGACAGCAGTGCCGAAGGTGAGCGCGGAGCCGGATGTTCTTTGCCTTCTTCACTACTCCCTCGATATTCTGGAATGCTCCCCACGCGGCGCGTTTCCTTCTGCACAGCTCTGGAGCTAGGTCGTTCATCATGTTGACTTCCCGACCTAGATACACATAGCTAGAGCATTCGGAGATATTCGTTCCGTTTAACGTGAAAGGAGCATCAGGTACCAGTCCGTTTTTCATGAACATCGTCTTAGGTCTTATCTTAGGTTCAGCCTCAAGCCGATCTTTCCACAAGCACTATCAAACTCGGCCAGCATTCGTTCCGCCTGCTCGATGTTCGGTGTTATAAGCACGATGTAGTCTGCAAAGCGGAGGTGATGTAGGAAGCGGCCGTCGACCTTCACTCCCAAGTCTTCCCATTCCAAATGACGCATGATATTCTCGAGAGCGGCACTGAAAAGTTTGGGCGAAATAGTATCGCCTTGCCGGACACCTCTCTTCACGTTGACAATGTCTACCTTATAGAATGGTGAAATCCTGGTCGAGAAGCTGTCGTA